GACGACCCTTGGCGCAGGCGCGGAAGGCGCGCTGCTCGAGCACGCCGCCGCGGCGCCCGACGGGCAGGAGGCGGCGCTAGAGGCGAGCGCGGACGGCGCGGGCTTCTGGGATGCCCTCGGCCTCGGCGGCGAGGAAGCGCCCGTGGAGGAGCCCGCGGAGCCGGCATCCAAGTTGATGCCTGGTGAGGAGGCGGGGGTGCTCCAGATACCGGCCGAGGCGGCGGAGGAGCTGCTGCGGAAGCTGGAACGGATCGCGGCGGCCACGGGCGCGTCGTTGTCCGCGCGGAACGGCCTGCTGCGCATCACCGGCGCCTCCAGCGCCCGCGGGCACGCGGAGCGGCTGGCCGCCGCAGTGGTCGACGGTCGGGTCAGGGAGTCGGAGCACGAGGACATGCAGGTCATGTTGGCGCCGCAGACCTGGCTGGACCAGTGGCGTGGCCAAGAGGGGGCCGTGGAGGAGGAGTTCGACGTGCTCGTGGTGTTCGAGAGGACAATGGCGAGAGCGCTGACGCTCACCAGGGCCAAGAAGGGCCTGCTCGTCGAGGCCAAGTGGAGCAACGGCTGCTGGTACACAGCCACTGTGGCCGGACCGGGCACGAAGGCCGCACGCGCGGAGGACTCCACGCTGTTCATCAACTGGAGCGCAGACGCAGCCCAAGACGAGGTTCCCCTGCAGAACGTCCGGCAGACGCTGCGAGTGGCCGTCTTCGGCGCGCACGCGGCGAGGTTGCGGGCCATGGTCAGGATGGCCAAGCTCGCCGAAGAGCATTCCAAGGGAGTGATGAGCACGCTGGTTGACACCGTCGGGACATCGGGCGGCGAGGGCCTGGAGGCGGTGCGGCTTCACGCGAATGAGTGGGTCATGACGAGGATGGCCGAGCGCAGAATCATACCAGCGGTCATCTCGGCGACTTCTTGTTCTGCCGCAGAGGTGTATTCCATGCCTAGGAAGGCCTTCTTCAAGGGCAGGCCAGTGACAGAGAGCGACAATTATGTGCTGATTGTGGGCAGTTCCAGCGAGAGGAGACTGGCCGGACAGCTCATCGACATCATCGCGAACGGCTTAGCGAAGAAGGTCGTCTCCGAGATTCCCCCCTCCATCGCTGGCGATTGCAGGAAAGTCAAGATCCCTCAGGACATCGTTGGTCAAGTGATTGGCAAGTTCGGTGCAAGTCTTTCACATCTCATGGAGAGCACAAAGACCGTCATCATCCTCCTCGAGTCAAAGTCTGACCAGGAGAAAGAGAAGGTCAGCATGAATGACATGGAGGACCTCCTGGAGGCTATGTTCGACCAGGTTCGCGAGGGCAGGACTACAGAACTTGCTATTTTCGGCGCGCCACGACAGAGACTGGTTGCGGAGGCGAGACTAGCAGCGATCATTGAGAGTAAGTTCCCAGGGTACCACCCTGAGCCGCAGTGGGATTGGGAGCTCGGGATGGCTGTGGAAAGCGGCGGTGAAGATGGGCTTGCGACGGACAGAGTTTGGCTGCACGGCGATCTGGAAGATCGGGCCGAGTCCAGGGAAAACGCAGACATCCTCGCAGCCGCGTCAGGCTCCTCGGTGGACTCGTACCGAAGGATGGTTTCTCTGGTTGGCACCGGCGAGGAGCGCCGCCGTGCGCAGGAGTACGCCCGCTGGATGGACGGGCATCAGCGGGGCAAGCACCCCCACGTGCTCGACCTCGAGAGGCGAATGGACCTCGCCTCCGTGAGCGTGCCGCAGGAGGCGGTGCGCGACAGGGGCCTCAAGGCTGCGCTCAAGGACTTCGCGCGAGAATCGCGGGTGGTAGCCTTCTTCGACGCCTCCCAGGAAGGCGTCGGGGGTGGACAGAACCCCCAACAGTGACACGTCGATTAGTGAATTGTCCGTTTTCGGTTCTCGAGAGGGCGCCGCGGCCGTTCTTTTCCAGGCTTGCGCCCGCCAGGTTTGGGCCTCAGGTCGTTTTCACTAAACCACGTTTTACTACAGGGAGGTCTGTCCATCCCCGAAGGCGACCGACGGCGGCTGGTGCTCGCGGGGGCAGAGATTGCTGGGCGCGGCAGGCTCGTGACACAGCTCCTGAAGGCCGCGGAGGAGCTCGTCGCCGGGAGGCAGCCCGTAGGGCTGGAGGTCACCGCTGCACCGGCGGAGGCGGAGGGCCCGCGGCAGGAGGCGCAGGACTCGAGCGAGGGCCCCGGCCAGGGGAAGGGCAAGGGCAAGGGCAAGCTCAAGGGCAAGCTCCAGGGCAAGAGGGGCAAGGGGAAGAGTGGCCCAGAGGTCGGGTTGACCCAAAAAAAGGGAGTCCAGCGACAAGGGGGTGGTGCAATAGATTTGGTGCAATAGATGTGTGGGGTTGCTCTAAGCATGAGGCGTGCAATACATTCCGGGGCGCAAATGTATTTCTGGTTTTTCGCGTGCAACACATTACTTGAAATACAATGCAATACAATTCTCCGACGCAGTACATTTGCAATACAATTACCCCAAATCTATTGCACCACCCCCTTTCAGCTGGACCCCCTTTTGGGTCACCCAAAAGAGGTCGACGAGGAGCTGCCATCGAACGTGCCGCCCCCCGCCACGCCGGCTGGGCCTGGCGTGGGCGTGCGCCCGCCCATGACGCCCGCGGCGCCCGGGCGAGGCGTGCCCCCACCGGCAACGCCCGCTGCGCCAGGTGTGGCCCCGCCGGCGACACCGGGCGGCTTCGGACCGCACGGCAACGCCATGCCGAGCACGCCGGGCGTCATCGGCGGGGGCGTCGTGGCACCGCCAGCGACACCAGGCGGCTTCGGCCCGCACGGCAACGCCATGCCGATGACGCCAGGCGTAGTCGGCGGAGGCGTCGTGGCGCCGCCGGCGACGCCAGGCGGTTTCGGCCCCAACGGCGGCGCCATGCCGATGACACCAGCCACCGTCGGCGGAGGCGTCGTGGCGCCGCCGGCGACGCCAGGCGGTTTCGGCTCCAACGGCGGCGCCATGCCGATGACACCAGCCATCGTCGGCGGGGGCGTCGTAGCGCCACCGGCAACGCCAGGCGGCTTCGGTGGAGGGGTGCCGCCACCGTCGACGCCAGCCTTCGGGCGAGGCGTGCCGCCGCCCGCTACGCCGGCAGCGCCCCGCAGAGGCGTACCTCCACCAGCGACGCCAGCCGTGGGCGTAGCTCCGCCTGCCACGCCAGGTCCAGACCGGAAGAGGAGCATACCAGCCCCCGAGACGCCTGGGCTGTGCGGCACCCCGCCGCCGGCGAGCGCCCAGGTGGCGCAAGACGCGGAGAAGAGGAGGCGGGTGCTGGCCGCGCCGGCCACGCCGGCGTTTCTCGGGGTCACGGCTGCCACGCGGCAGGCGCCAGCGACGCCCGCCAACCTCGGCGCCAGCGTCGCACAGCAGGCGCGACCTGCAGCCGCGCCGCCGGCCTCTGCGCGGCCGCCGCCCAGCGCCAGAGTGGCATCTGGGCCCCGCCTGCTCTCCTTCAGCGACGTGGCCGCGACGCAGGCTCCCAGCGACAGCGACGTTCTGCCGCCTGGCTGGGAAGTCAAGAGGTCCACGTCGAACGGGAAGGTGTACTACTGGCACAAGAAGCGTAGGTTGTCTCAGTATGAGCGGCCTACTGATTGAACGTATATCTTTTCGGTCCAGCGCACTTGCTGGTTCGACGAATGCCGCCAGCTAAGCTTTCCCAGTCGTCGGGAATTGCCTAGCATCCCGGTCACGAGCCACCTTTCCAGGTTCTCCTTCTCGTTGAATTCTATCGCGCAGTATTGCAGGCAGTTGCAGACAGCAGACTAGACGAATTGCGTGCGGAAAAACAAGTCGGCCACGCGAAGGCCAAAGATGGGTCCAAGGGAGCCCTAAGACCTGCTCACCGCAGCCGAGGACAGCCCAAAGACAGCCAAAATATGGCCCTCTTCGCCGAAAAATGAAGGCGACAGGTGTCACATGCGACGGCTCTCCTCTGCCTCCTCCTCTGCTTCCTTCTTCTCCTTCCCCTCCTCCTCCTCCTCATCAGTATTATCATGATCCTTCTCTGTTTCCTTCTGCTCCTCCTCCAAATCATCAGCATCATCATCATCATCATCATCATCATCATCATCATCATCATCATCATCATCATCATCATCATCGTCATCGTCATCGTCATCATCATCATCATCATCATTATCATCATCAGCATCATCATCTGGACTTGATTACCATCACAATACTCCTCATCATCGTCACCATGATCATGATCATGATAGTAAAACGAATAACAACAATAAAACAAAAAGCATTAAAGCATGAACCATACCATTAAAATTATCTCGGCGAAGGACATAACCATATGCACTTATGCCTGCCGCGTTGTGGGTACCGCTTTCGGTGGAGCTCCCTACGGGGCCACGACCCTCGTGAGGGGTGCACAGAAATGGGCGGGGGGGCGCATGCGGACCCTGCCGCGGGGGCCTTCGGTGGAGCTCACTATGGGGCCACGATCCTTGTGAGGGGTGTGCCGACATGGGCGCGGGGACGCATGCAGACCTTGCCACTGGGGCCTTCGGTGGAGATCCGTATGGGGCCACGATTCTCGTGATGGGTGCCGAAATGGGCGGGGGGACGCATGCGGACCCTGCCACGGGGGGCTTCGGTGGAGCTCCCTATGGGGACACGACTCTCGTGAGGGGCGTGCCGACATGGGCGGGGGAACGCATGCGGTCCCAGCCGCTGGGGCCTTCGGTAGAGCCCTTGCCGCGGTGGCCTTCGGTGGAGCTCCCTATGGGGCCATGATCTTCGTGAGGGGTGTGCCAAAATGGGCGGGTGGACGCATGCGGACCCTGCCGCGGGGGCCTTCGGTGGAGCTCCTTGTGGGGCCACGATCCTCGTGAGGGGTGTGCCGAAATGAGCGGGGGGACGCATGCGGACCCTGCCACTGGGGCCTTTTGTGGAGATCCTTATAGGGCCACGGGTCTCGTGAGGGGTGTGCCGAAATGGGCTGGGGGACGCATGCGGACCCTGCCACGGGGGCCTTCGGTGGAGGTCCCTACGGGGCCACGAACCGTGTGAGGGGTGTGCCAGAATGGGATGGGCATGCGGAGAACAGAGGCAAGGGATGGGAGGAGGGAGGAGAGGGAGGAGGCAGCGGGAGGTGAGGTGAGGTGACGCGGGGCGCTGTCTCTTCAAAACGAGGACCTTGCACAACAGGATGGTTGGGAAATATCATTAATAATATTAGTATATTCTTAATACCAAAAATAATATGGATAATCATCACCAGCAAGGTCCTCATCATCACCATCATCATGAGTACCATCATCATGGTCAGTGTCATCATGACCACCAGCACAATCATCATCACCATCATCATCATCATCATCATCATCATCATCATCATCATCATCATCACCATCACAACGATCCTAATCATCAGCAGCAGCATCACCACCACCACCATCATCATCAGCAGCATCACCATCCCCATCCACATCCTCGTCCTCACCCTTATCGATCATCCTCACCGTCATCGTCATCATCGTCATCGTCATCACCAGCATCATCACCACCACCACAACCACCCCCGCCACCACCACCATCACCAGAATCATTATCAGCATCATCATAGCGAACCACAAGAAATTCTGGAGAGGCCGCAAGAAGCTCCCCAGAGGCCCCATTAAACTCTTCGGATGTCCCCAGAAAATCTAGAGGCCGCAAGAAGCTTTCCATAGGCCCCAAGAAGCTCTTCAGCCCCCTCTGGGAGCTCTTCAGCCTCCCAGGAAGATCTTCAGCCCCCCTAAAAAGATCTTCAGATGCCCTGAGAGGCTCGTCGTACGTTGTTTATTAGCTATGATGGGGTGGTTCTGGATCTCCGCCTGCAGGCCAGCCCCCCAAGGAAGATCTCCAGATGCCCTACGAGGCTCGTCGTGCATTATTGCGAAGGCCTGACGGCCGGTGCCGCCGACCCTGAAGAGGTCCTCCTTGTCCACAGGGGGGATTGGGGAGGGGAGGGGAGCGCCGGGAACAGGGGGGGCGGCAATCTGACCAACCCCTCCCCCCTTCCCCCCCCCTCAGGGAGGGGACACGGAGAGGGAATCGACTTCACTGCGATGTTTCTTTCCTCTGTTCGTTTCTAAATTTCCTTGGGACTGGCGACGACGACGACGACGACGACGACGACGACGACGACGACGACGACGACGACGACGACGACGACGACGACTACGAAGACGACGAAGACGACGAAGACGACGAAGACGACGAAGATGGCGAGAGCGTCTCACACACGCCGAAGGGTTGGCGGATCTCGGCTCCGAAGACGACGGCGCAACTCCCCAATAGGACCCGAGGACGGCCCACGAGAGGTTCCGCAGTGGCCCAGGAAAGCTCCAAGACAGCCCAAGAGGGTCGGGCGGACGGCAATGGGGGGGGGGGGGGGAATGCGGGGTGGAGAAGTCGCCCCTTGAGTTTTTGTTCCTTCACCCCCCATTTGGGCCACCCCCCCCACCGCCACCCGCCCGAGGGGGCGCCGAGGCGGCCCAAGAGAGCCCCCCCCCCCCAGGGGCCGCGAGCCGAGCGCGCCGAGGCGGCCCGAGGGGTGCCCGGAGCACCGCGGCGGGCAGCCCCCCCCCCCCCCCCAGACGCGGCGAGAGGGCCCGCCGCGGCCGCTCGGCTCGAGGCCCACACCTCCCACGGCCGTGGCGCCTTCACTGCAGGGGCCCCCCTCGGAGTTGCCGCCCGCGTCCCCAGGGCCGCCTTCTCCGCAGGCAGGGGGGGCCCCTGCCAGTGAAGCCCTGGATCGCCGGGGTCCTCGAGGCCATCTGGGTCCTCCCGAGCAGGTCCTCGAGCGAGGCCTGCGCTCAGGTCATCACGGAGGAACCTGGACGCTCTACAGGCCTAGCATTGGTGTTGTGATTGCTCGGGGTTGTTCCCAACCGTCTTTATCCTTCTCCTCCTCTTCATTTTGCAAGACCCCGCGGGGCACCCCTGGAGTTGCCGACCACTTCCCCACTGAGCTCGGGAGCCTCGAGACGGAGGTCAATGCAAGCGGGGATCAGCCAGGGCGCCAGATCTTCCAGGATCCAGCAAAGCCAGGGTTGCATCGACCCGGCCAGCGCGCAGCATCCTGCAGGATCCTGCAGGACCTTGCAAGGCCCGACTGGCCCGGGCCTGGATTGACCCGAGTCAGTGCGTCCCCGAGTTTTGTTTGAAGGTCCCAGGGCCCGGCAAGGGCTCTCTAGAGGCCGGGACGGAGGCCCCTAGGAACCGCCCGCTGCGACTCTCCTCGCGGCACGAGGAGAGTCTGAGGAGGTTCTGGCTGGAACCCACGCCGCACGCGTCGGGGGTGGGGGCCGCACGCCAACGTTGGCGGCGCCCACGAGGGGGGGGGGGAGCGAGGGGGGCGGCCTGTTGCGAAGGCAGGGCGGGGGGGCGTCTCAGAACGCAGGCGCCTTCTTGCAGGGGCCGGGCGGCTTCTGAGAAGCCCCAGTCGAGGCCAGGCCCCTCCGAGAATCGGGGGAGCGTAGGACTCGAGTACGCCGGAGCTCGTGCTTGCCGAGGTTTTTCGACGAGCGCGTCCCGAATTTCGACGGTCCATGTTCCGTGGGATGTGTGCAGCGGAAGCTCGCGTCAGATTTCGGACTGGGTCTCGTCATTCCACGATGGCCCCGTCAGGCCAACCCGAGCCCCCCGAACCCGAGCCGTACGCGTCCCCGAGAGAGGCCAGGCCCCTCCAAGAAAGCCCCACGCCGTCTAAGACGCCCCCCCCCCCCCCCGCCCTGCCTTCGCAGAGGGCCCCCCCCCTTTCGTGCCGCCCCCTCGTGGGCGCCGCCCACGGGGTCGCCCCACCAGCCTCGGCTCGGCTGCCGCGCTCCGCGGGGCCGATGGCGGCCGCGCCCGCTGCCCGGACGGAGGAGCCGAAGCACCCGTCGCCCGCCGCGCGCGGCCCGCGACCGCGCGCGCCGGAAGCGGCGCTGGGCGCGGCGTTGCCATGGCCGCCGCCTTGCAGGCCGCCAGAGTAGTGTCGGACCTAGGTATAAAGTTGGGGGGGGGTATCCTAAGATTCTTCGTGTCTGTTGGTTTTCCTTGTGCATCCTGGGGAGGGTGCCCTTGAACGTTCGGTTTGTTCTGGCCGACGGAGGGGCTCGTGGTTTGAGGGATGTTCTTCTGGCCGGGGTCCGACTGTAGATTCACAAGGGCCGGCAGGAGGGTGCGAACCTGTTCTCGATTCACGACTTCCCTCATCCTCACCCTCACCCTCCTCGTCTTCCTCTTCTTCAAGCAAGTGCATACAATACAGTGGAAACGCATGCCAAAAAACACACTGCTTGCATCCAGGGTGCCATTGGTTTCTTGGGCTTCGATGGTCTTGCTATGGAAAGCGTGACGCTCCCACATCAAAAATCAATGGACGCCCTGGTGTCTCAGAGCTGGGTTTCTTGTGGAGGATGTCTTGCGGTCGAGCTGTAGGAGGCCGGGTCGTTCGAGTCGGGGTTGGGCATGTCAGTACTCTGGACTTCCTGCCCTTCCCCCGCCCGCCCCTTTCGCCCCCTCTCGAACGTGCGCGCCCCTCCCCGGGCCGACGCTGCTGTAGGCTGCCGTAGGACGCCCACTGTGCCCCCGCAGCTCGCTGCGAAAGAGGCCGTGCCCCGAGCTCCGTCCATCCATACATCCTCCTCCTTCCTCCCTCCTCCTCCTCCTCCTCCTCCTCCTCCTCCTCCTCCTCCTCCTCCTCCTCCTCCTCCTCCTCCTCCTCCCCCCTCTCCTCCTCCTCCTCCTCCTCCTCCCTCCCTCCTCCTCCTCCTCCTCCTCCTCCCCCTCCCCCTCCTCCTCCTCCCCCTCCCCCTCCGCCTCCTCCTCCTCCTCCTCCCTCCCTGGGCCTACTGTATAGTGCTGGATGCACTTCCCTCCGCCTGCGTGGATCGGGGCGTGGACGGGGAGCTCCAGACTGGAGCTTCCCGCCCGGTGCGCGCGCCACGCCGTCCTCGGGGCGGAGCCCCGGGGGGCAGGGCTGCGGGCGCTGCGTCGGTGCACAACCTTCAGGAGGGGAAGAAACACACAGACACAATTGATCGCCGATTCCCCAGAAAATCTGGGAAAATGTGGGAAGTGGGGGGGAAGACAAAACCCCAGGAAATATAGGAAAAGATGGGGAAAATGTTTATTTGTGTGTCCTGGGGCCCCTTCAAACCTGTGTAGTCCAAAGCCCGGATGGCGGAGCACCAGGAGGGCCGTCCAGAGGCCTCTCGAGGGAGCACCTGGAAGCTCCTGGAGGGAGCTGCCGAAGGAGCTTCTGAAGAGCTTCCGGGCAGACGTATTGGGAAACACTCGGAAAGGGCCTGCCAGGACACGTTGCAGCATCAGGCAGGCCGCGCCGGGGATTTTTCACGGAAGCCGGAACTTGGTGCGCGCGCCACGCTGTCCTCAAGACGGAGCTTTGGGGCCAGAGTTGCGGGCACTGCGTCGGTGCACAATTCTGCACGCAATTGCCGAGTTAAGTCGGGCGTGTGGGCCATGCTGCGGGAGGAATCATCAAGAATAGGACAAAATAGTCAGGTGACAATTTGTTCGTGATGTTCTGAATATGTTTGAATATGTTGTGAGTATGTTTTATGTGTCTTCCAATACCCGCCTGTAGAAGGACGCGCCCGACCTAATTGTAGAGACATTGCCGAACACTCTTTCGAAAACGCTTGAGTACTACTGCTTGTCGGCGAGGAGGTGTGCAATCAAAGGGTCGACCTACTTATTTCCAGAGTTACCCGAGGCGTCGCAATTCCAATGTGGTCTCCGCATGTGCGAAGATATGTGCTTCACATATGTTTGGGATATCTGTTGGATGCGTGCGATGCGGCCGTCCACATATTGAGGTATACTGTGCAAGCGCACGCTGCTGGCATATGGAACGATCCGTGCCACTTCCTGCGAAGAGCGAGCTCCCAAAGCATAGGATCTCTTGTGATTTTGCAATGTGACTTCGAAGATGTCGAGGAACTTGCAGCTAGGAACGAATTCTTCGAAATCCGCGCGCAGCCCTATTGGCAAGACGAACTGAACAACATGCCAGATACATTCACGACAGAACATTGCGTTCAACACCCTCATATCGTCATTGTGCAGCAACGCACTTAGCATAGCGTCACTTGGCAAGCCATACCCTGACAGACCACACTGGCCCAAGAACTTCGGATTTACGTGTAAGAGCCGAGTTCGGACATTCATCATCATTACCGCCAGAATTTCTGATAATGAGTTGCCGGTGTGAAGGCCGTACCAAGATGATGTTCCTTGGTTCGTAGTACTTGCTGCTCATTTCGAAGGTCGCGACGGATTTCAATTCTTCGGATGTGAATGTTATTCAGTCGGTGTTGGCCTTGTTCGGAATTCCACCCAAGTGGCATCTACCAGGTCGTTTCTGTGACATTGAGACTGCGCGGTGACTCGTCTGGAGTGAGATGCAGGCGAGCAGTTGTTCACCGTCTTGCAATGTCTGGGTCGCTTTAGCATTGGGGAAGAACGAGTCGATGTCGAGCTGGCCTCTATCGATGAACGGCTTTGGTCGACAACACTTGCAGCGCGAGCATTTCAACCGCACACGGCAGGAGGTCACGCGCAAACCAATTCGTCCATGTTGTGGTAGCCTCCGATCGGAGGTATGTCCGTATGCCCCTGGCCACTTCTTGGCCCACTCGTCGGGTGGAATGGTGGGCCGTGCACATCCTTCTCGGGGGTATTGGTGGGCTCTAGTGCGCACAAACCGTTGTTCATCACAACGTTTCTTCTTGTCGTTCACATACACATACCCAAAAGATGCTGGCGCCCAACATCGAAGCCTCTGATGCCTCCAGCGGGGTGGGATGCACCGACGATATGACGCCCACACTTCTCTACAGCATTGGTCTGTGTGCAACACGGGAATCGCGTGCCGCCTGGAGCTCCGTGAGAAACAATCTGCGAGCTCAACGGCGTATTCGACCTTGGATCTGATTACGAGGGACAGAGCCACACCGCAAACCTCATGCCGACCGACATGAAAGACATGGGACGGAGATTTCAACGTGACAGATTCCAAAAGTTCTCCCCGGGATTTCTGCTCGGGCAATCCAAAAATATATCCTGTATTCAAGCTGCTGCGTGGTACAAACATGTGTCTGTTATGCCGAATTCTGTCGACCATCGTCCAATCAGCGATCACAAGTCGTTGCACAAATCGGCGGATCGCATGGATATCGGCGTGTCCCAATTCAGAGGCACAGGACGCGCAGCTTCGCGCCTCCTGCGCGCTGCAATCACATCCGGACTCAATCCAAGAAGTGCGTCGACGTCGAGACGCCGTGCTTCTTGGATCTGATGGGTCCGGAGCATGCTGAAGATGCTGGGCTGGCATTGGTCTGCACGCGCGCGTTCAAACATGAAGCGCGCCCTGCTCGCAGAAATACTCCGTGTTGGCGAACGCATCGGCGTGAGATGTTCTGGACGGTCGCAAAGATTCGGGAGATGCCAAAGGTATCTTTGGCCCAAGGTGCCCCCAGCTTTCGCTCAATTTTGAAGCCCCTGGGGCCCTCTGGGCCTCGTGAGGGGTGCGCTGGAGGCCGTGGGGGCCTCCCTGGAAATCCTGGGGGCACCCTGGGCCCGGGGCACGCCTAGCAACACCCGAATGTTTGATTTCAGGAGGGGAAGAAACACACAGACACAATTAATCGTCGACTCCCCAGAAAATATGGAAAAATATCGGCAGTGGTGGGGAAGACAAAAACCCAGAAAATATGGGAAAATATGGGGAATCTTTTTATTTGTGTGTATTTATGTGTGTGTCCCAGGGCCCCTTCATGATTGCCCCTTCACTTTCGTCGGCCGGACAGTGAACGGTGGTGTGCACGTGCCCGGAGTAGCCCTGAGCCGTCACAGGGTTCCTACGGGTCGCCCGCTGCCTCTGCACGCTTGCCAGAGGAGATCTCCAGCGTCTGCCCATAGTTCAGATCGTCTTTTATGTCGAAGAGGGGAAGCCTTGCAAACAGGTAAGCGCTCACGTGCCTCCCACTGAACCAACATAATATTTGGCCAGCAAGAAGCTGCGTCGACAGAGATCTATGGGTACACCAACGCCAGATCGTACGCAAACACGGTACAGCCATTTGGATCGTGATGTTTGCCATGGTTCCCGCACTTCGTCGTCGCACTTGGGCGCTGGGAGTTACCACCGGGCAGCGAAAGCTTGAATGAGGAACGCCACGCTGGCGGCTACCAAGTGTTGAAACTCGCTCTGCTGTCCTCGGAATATGTTGTGGGGACGTTTTCGCGTGGCATGCCCATCGTTGCTTGTGGAAGTCCTGGTTATCGTTGGGCGGAGCCAGACTTGATTCACAATAACACTCTATAGATTAGTTCTCCATGGAAAACTGTCGCCATGTCCTACGCCTGGAGTGCTGGCTCTCTTTGGATGACCGTTGCACAATGCGCATAAGGTGCTCAACAGCGTGGTGCATTCTTGCGATGCCGGATGAGACGGCCCTCCCCTACTTGCCCGACCGTCTGGAAAAGACACCACCAGATTGGCAACGAATGCGAACGAACCTCCACTGTATGAGCACCATCGTTTCCAGACCACAGAATGCTTTGGATTGATGACGGCGCGAGAGCGCGAACATAGCTGCCCTTGAAACTCAGGAGCGGAAGAACCGCGCACGTGTGTTGGAGTTGGTTGGGGAGCCGAGGTGGCCCAGCATTCGTTTCCAGCCAGCAGGAAAATGGAAGAAAGGCCCGCCTTTCATCGCCGCGGCTGGGCGCGGCTCGAAAAGATAGTCGGTTTGAAGCCCGGGAGGGATCCAGGGATTGATGTCGAGCGACTTGTTTTCATCCGCCCTTCTTCACCGATGTTCTCTGGTCCCATCCAGGCCAGACCCCCTGGCCGTCTCCAGCCCGTGTGCATGACTCGTCGTGGGTTTCGAGAGCATGTGCTGCGCGAACTTCCGTAACACGAGGCTGGCCTCGCGGATTGGAGGGCCGTGTTCGTGTGCGCGGCTCTGTTCGGGGGCTTCCCACGTCACGAGGGCGAGACTTGCACACATCCACTGCTCCTGGCCAGGCCCACACTGGGCCCAGGAGCGGTGTACAGTCGGGGCCCTGAAGAAGGGGGAGGGGCTCCGTGTTCCTTACTTGTTTCGCAGCTTGCCTTGGATGTTCCTTCTGTTTTCGATCGGAAATCGAAGTTTTCTTTCGTGGAAAAAAAGTGGCCTCGTTCCTTATTTAGGGTTCCTTAGGTCAACGCCCCGACTGGTATACGCCCTCCTAGCTTGGCCCAGGGAGGCATATAGACACCGCTCCTGGGCCCGGGGTGGGCCTGGCCAGGAGCAGCGGATGTGTATAGACCTCGTCGCCTTGCACGTCTTCATCGGTGCTCGGCGGCTCTCCAGCCTCGGAGAGCTCTCTGGCGGCTGCGCCACGCCAGTGGCGCTCCTGGCCAGATGTCGCAGGCCTAAGAGGTTCACACCAACACCAATATCGGCGGTGTTCCTCCACCGCGGGAAGAGGAACCCGATCTCGGTAATGGTGGTAATATTCTGGCTTCGAATGTGACCGAAGTATTACCACCAACACCGAAATCTAGGATCATCTTCCCCCTGTGGGGGCAACCCCCTGTGTTGGTGTTGGTGCCCATTTCCAGGCCTCCAAAGATGGGGTCAGAGTAGATGGGGTCGGAGGATCGCGCCGCATCGCCGATGCATCGGCAATGCGGCTCGATGTGGAGCCCAGTTTTCTTCACACGAACGTTACCGACGAATCGCCAACGTCGCCGATGCATCCCAGATGCATCGGCGATGCGGCGCAATCCTCCGACCCCATCTAGAAGGCCTCTGGAGGATCAAAGGTGTCCTCCGTGTCCGCGGTTCGGTCGGATCAGTTGCGTCGCGGTCAGTTGCGTTCGGTCGGCTCGATTCGGTCGGTTGTTGTGTCATTGTTGCGACGCTGCGCCCTTCTAGGCTGATTGTTGTTTGTCGGTCTCGGTCGTCTTCGTTTTACTATGGGTTCTGTCGTTTTCCGATCGTGCCGTCGCCGTGGACGCCTTTGGTAGATAGGGTCGGAGGATCGCGCCGCAGCGCCACTGCATCAGCGATGCGGGTTGATGCGGAGTTCGAGCTTCTCCATCACGACGTCGCTGGTGCATCGGGGATCCCCCGACCCTGTGGAATTGCTCTGTTCCTATTTGGCGGCCTCCAGGCCTGCAGACTTGGGCAGCAGGGCCTATGTCGTGCGGAACACCTTCCTGCACTTCCAGGATCGGTCGCACACGCAAAGTGTCGGGTTCGGTAGCAAATCATGGGAACTTGGCATACCCTCTCAATTCCGTCTTTAGCGTCGATTAGCACCTGGGAGTCGATGGGGTAGCGCCGATTTAGCGTCGGTTAGCGTCGGTTTAGCGTCGACTAGCCTCGATTCGCAAGAGCCGACGCGATGGTATGGGAGGCTCCCATGAGTTGCCACCGAAGGTCGGGCGACGAGACCAGTCCACCTCAAGGGAGGAAAAAACACCCAGGCCAGACAATTGGCGTTTACTAAAACGGCCCTGGGCGTTTACTAAACAGCCCTGCCCTGTTCGATTCGGGCGCGTTTACTAAAGGCCTCGCGTGTCGGGGTGGTTATCGTCGGGAGGGATTTATTGCCCACCACCGGCACGGGCCACCGCCCAGCCTGGGCCCACGAGCGGTGCTTGTGTCTCGCTGGCCGGGCCAGGAGGGCGGATGGCACTCGGACGGGGCCAGTACGAGGATAAGTCCGCTCCAGATCGGGACGATTGGAGTGTATACAGTGCCAGAGGCGGGCTTTTCTTCAATCCCCCGAGTTTTTGAGGGTCGGGGACGACGTCGGGGCGTTGTGGTGTACGCTTTTTGTCCCCGTGTTCCCAGGGAAACAATGGAACATGCATGCACCAAAATCCCGTGAACACCAGGATCCACTTGCTTGTGCGGGTTTGGGTGCGAGGCCGAGAAAAGCGTCAGTGTATATATATATATATATATATATATATAGAGCGAGAGAGAGAGAGAGAGAGTTCGGTTCCTTACCAGAGCGCTCCGGAAGGTTGTGAGACGGTTGCGGCGCCCGAGACATCCTCCAGAGCCCCCAGATCTCAGAGAATCGACCAGAGTGGGGGCCCATGCCAAGAAACACCTTGCTTGCCTCCAGGGTGCCCTGGGTTCCTTGGGCTTCGATGGTTTCGCTATGGAAAGCGCGACGCTCCCACGCCAAAAACCAGTGGACGTCCTGGGGTCTCAGGGTTGGGTTTCTTGTGGAAGGTTTCTTGTGGTCGCGCCCGTATTGTAATACGTGGACGTCCTGTGGTCTCAGGGTTAGGTTTCTTGTGGAAGGCTTCTTGTGGGCTGGCCTCCGCTGTCATCCTCCCACGGTGTGCAGCCTCGCCCTGGCTTTACGTCGGGCCTGTCCCTCTACAGGGGAATAGTCAAAAATAGTAAACAAAATAGTCTGGGGACGATTGTCTGAGTATTTTTTGTCCATTTGGGGGCAAAATCCCCCTGTAGGGGGACAGGCCCGACTTAACCCTGGCTTCGTCTGAGGCGCCGCTCCCGGCCCAGGAGCGGCCTGGCAGGAGCAGCGGACGTGAGCAGGCCTCCTCGCCCCCGGAGAGTGGTGGCCCCTGCCTGTGCGGCCCGCGGTGTCTCGGCCGCCCGGGGCGCGGACGGGGGGAGGAAGGAAGGAGGGAGGAGGAGGGCGGAGGAGGAGAAAGGAGGAGAAAGGAGGAGGAGGAGGAGGAGGAGGAGCAGGAGGAGGAGGAGGAGGAGGGAGGAGGAGGAGGAGGCGGAGGAGGGGCCAAACCCAGCTCCGGGCCCCCCAGATGGGTTCGGGGAGCAGGTGGAGTCGGAGGATCGCTCCGCATCGCCGCTGCATCTGCGATGCAGCGGCGATGCGGCTCGGCGTGGAGCCAGATCCTCTCCACGCCGACGTCGCCGAGGATTATCGCTGGCGCCGCCGATATGTGCATCGGCAGCGGAGGCCCCCGAAACGGTCCTGGGCGCCTTCCCCCCCGCGGGCGGGGCCTTCCTCCCGGGCCGTGCTGGTTGGCGGTCCCGAGAGGTCCAGCGAGGGCCCCCAGAGATCGAAGATTGCCGAAAGCCTTCGTTGACAAGCCCTCGGCATTTTTGTCATGCAGGCCTCGGAACACATCAGCGAGCACGTGCCACATTCAACGGTCCACGCCTCCCCCTCCCCCCAGTGTTCAAAGTTGGCGGTGGGTCTGATGAGACGCACTTCGACCGCAGTCTCCCCCGCGCGTGCCAACGTTGAATTTGGGGGGGAGGGGGAGTGTTCAGGAATTGTTTCCCTCCACCGTACCCTCGCAATTCTGACCACAAGTTGCCTTGCCCGCGCGCTGCACAGCCTGCCCTGGCCAAGAAGAGGACCCAGAGTCCGACACGCGTCGCCGACAAATAGTAGTCGAGATCGGGGATGCACCCCACGAGTCTTCTCTGGAGTGTGGAAGGCCATTGGGGTGAAACGTCGGTCCCGCGGGAAAGGGTCCAGACCTCTGGGGGTCGAAGCGCTTGGGGAGGCTGTCGGCGCGCAGCCCCGAGCTTTTCCGGGCAGGGCCCCGCCCACGCTCTGAGCCCGGCACGCCCGAGAGAGGCGCAGCCGCTGGGTCGAGGCGTCCGCCCCACGCCTCGGCTTCCCCCGCCGGGCCTGGCGGAGTCCTGTGCCCTGCACCGCGGCGGGTGCTCGTTGACAGGTGCTCGTCTCTGGGCATCGCTCGGAGGTGTGCACGCTTTCTTCGGCGGGGGCCATCGAGGAGCAGTCTGGGGCATCTCGCGAAGGAGGGGAAAGATGGAGTAGACAAATGACTCTGTGACGTACCCAGCCCATGTGTACCAAGTGACACGAGGAGTTGGCCCAAACTTGCCAGGACAATGACGGTGCCGGCGCCGTTATATGCTGTGCAGGGTACACGGCATGCGCCCACGTGGCACGATTCGCAGGACAAGAACAGAAGGACGAGCAGCGAGGGCCCAGGCTCGAGGGGGACATGGGGGCGGGAACGAAGGGCAGGAGAAGGACGTGTGGGGGGCCGAGTCGTCAGCGCGGCAACAGCAGAGGGAAGGTGGCAAGGGGCAGAGGACGGCGACGAAAGTGACGGGAGGAGACCGAAGAGTGTTTTTTGTCGGTAGCACGCTCTATATATATATATATATATATATAGAGAGAGAGAGAGAGAGATACAGCGTTGCCTGCGCCATGTCGCCGCGGCAGCGAGCGAGGCCTAGCTCGCCCGCCAGCTTCTCGGCTTCCTTCCTGCACTCGCGTGCGGGAGCCAAACGCTCGAAGGCGCGCCGCCAAATTTGCTGCGGGCAGCCCGCGGGCCAGGAAATCCAGGGCGGGGTCGCGCATCATCAGGAGGTTGTCCACGGTCGTTGCCCTAGACAGCATCACGTAGAGATGCAGCCAATGTTGCACCGACGCCGACTCTGGACCAATCAAAATCTACCCGTGCACCCCTGCGGGGATTCTGACGACCCCGAACTCCGAACAACCCACAGGTAAACATTTTTATGCATATATAAAATAAATTAAATTGAAATAATATATTTTTATATACATATATATATATATAAAAGTGGACCCCTGGGATGGCGAAGTCTGCTGGTGGTCCGCGTAAGACGCCACTCTGCTGCACCACCCAGCAACCCTCGAAAGCGGCGACAATTTCGCAGATCGCAGCCCACCGGGGGATGGCGAGGTCCCCTGGTGATCCGCGCAAGACGTCATTCCGCTGCACCCCCCAGCGGCCCTCGGAAGTGGCGACAATTTCGCAGATCGCAGCCCCCCAGGGATGGCGAGGTCCCCTTGTGATCCGCGTAAGACGTCACGCAGCCGCACCCCCCAGCTGCCGTCGACAGTGGCGACAGTTTTGCAGATCGCAGCCCCCCAAGGAATGGCGAGGTCCCCTGGTGATCCGCGTAAGACGTCACTCCGCTGCACCCCCAAGCAGCCCTCGAAAATGGCCACAGTTTCGCAGATCGCAGCCCCCCAGGGATGGCGAGGTCTCCTGGTGATCCGCGTAAGACGTCACTCCGCTGCACCCCCCAACAGCCTTCGGAAGTGGCGACAGTTTCGCAGATCGCCCCCCCCAGGAATGGCGAGGTTTCCTGGAGATCCGCGTAAGACGTCACTCCGCTGCACCCCCAAGCAGCCTTCGAAACTGGCGACAGCGCTGCACGCCCAAGCAGCCCCCGGAAGGGGCGACGGCTTCGCAGACCGCAGCCCCCCAGGGATGGCGAGGTCTCCGGGTGATCCGCGTAAAACGTCACCCCGCACCACCCAGCAACCTTCGAAAATGGCGACAGTTTCGCAGGTCTCAGCCCCCCAGTGATGGCGAGGTCTCCTGGTGATCCGCGTAAGACGTCACTCTGCTGTACCCTACAGCAGCCCTCGAAAGTGGCGACAGTTTCGCAGATCGCAGCCCCCAGGGACGGCGAGGTCTCATTGAGTCTGGGTAGGACGTCACTCCGCTGGAACCCCCAGCAGCCTTCGGAAGTGGCGACAGGTTCGCAGATCGCACCCCCCCCAGAGATGGCGAGGTCTCCTGGTGATCCGCGTAAGACGTCACTCCGCTGCACCCCCAAGCAGCCACCAAAAGTGGCGACAGTGTCGCAGATCGCAGCCCCCCCTGTGATGGCGAGGTCTCCTGGTGATCCGCGTAAGACGTCACTCCGCTGCACCCCCCAACAGCCCTCGAAAGTGGCGACAGTTTTGCAGATCGCAGCCCCCCAGGGATGGCAAGGTTTCCTCGTGATCCGCGTCAAACGTCATTCCGCTGCACCCCCAAGCAGCCTTCGGAAACAGCGACAGTGTCGCAGATCGCAGCCCCCCAGGGATGCCGAGGTCCCCTGGTGATCCGCGTAAGACGTCACTCCGCTGAAACTCCAGAAGCCCTCGGAAATGGCCACAATTTCGCAGATCGCAGCCCCCCAGGGATGCCGAGGTCCCCTGGTGATCCGCGTGAGACGTCACTCCGCTGAAACTCCAGCAGCCCTCGGAAGTGGCGACAATTTCGCAGATCGCAGCCCCCCAGGGATGGCGAGGTTCCCTGGGGATCTGCGTAAGACGTCACTCCGCTGCACCCCCCAACAGCCACCAAAAGTGGCGACAGGTTCGCAGATCGCAGCCCCCCCAGTGATGGCGAGGTTTCCTGGTGATCCGCGTAAGACGTCACTCCGCTGCATCCCCCAACAGCCCTCGAAAGTGGCGACCGTTTCGCAGATCGCAGCCCCCCAGGGATGGCGAGGTTTCCTGGTGATCCGCGTAAGACGTCACTCCGCTGCACCCCCAAGCAGCCCTCGGAAGTGGCGACACTTTCGCAGATCGCAGCCCCCCCAGGGATGGCGAGGTCTCCGGGTGATTCGCGTAGGACGTCATCCCGCCGCACCCCCCAACAGCCCTCGAAAGTGGCGACAGTGTCGCAGATCGCAGCCCCCCAAAGATGGCCAGGTTTCCGGGTGATCCGCGTCAGACGTCACTCCGTTGAACCCTCAAGCAGCCCTCGAACGTGGCGACAGCGCTGCACCCCCAAGAAGCTCCCAGAAGTAGCGACAGTTTCGCAGACCGCATCCCCCCAGGGATGGCGAAGACGTCATTCCGCTGAACCCCCAAACAGCCTTCGAAAGTGGCAACGGTTCCGCAGATCGCAGCCCGCCAGGGATGGCGAGGTCTCCTGGTGATCCGCGTAAGACGTAGCAACCCTCGAAAGTGGCGACAGTTTCGCAGATCGCCGCCCCCCAGGGATGACGAGGTCCCCTGGTGGTCCGCGTAAGACGTCACTCCGCCGCATCCCCCAACAGCCGTCGGAAGTGGCGACAGGTTCGCTGATCGCAGCCCCCCAGGGGCGGCGAGGTCTCATTTGAGTCTGGGTAAGACATCACTCCGCCGCACCCCCCAACAGCCCTCGAAAGTGGCGACAGTTTCGCAGATCGCAGCCCCCCTGGCATTGCGAGATTTCATTTGAGTCAGGATAAGGCATCACTCCGCCGCACCCCCCAGCAGCCTTCGAGAGTGGCGACAGTTTCGCAGATCGCAACTCCCACAGGGATGGCGAGGTCTCATCTGCGTCTGCGTAAGACGTCACTCCGCTGCACCCCCCAGCAGCCCTCGAAAGTGGCGACAGTTTCACAGATCGCAGCCCACCAAGAGAGAGGAGGGGGAAAGAGAGGAGGAGGGAGGCGGGCAAGAGACGCGCAAGCAGTGCTCTGTTGAAGATGAGTACCCAATGCAGGAGGGGTGAGAACAGAATTAAAAATCCCAAAATGCGGAGTCGAAAGATGCGTGGGGAACGGACGTCCGAGCGATGGCGAGTTATGGAAGCCCGCCGAAAGCTGCTGTTTCAGGCCCTCTTTCGTGCATTGCAGCCGTGCCCGCATCGGGAAGGGTTGGGCGTGCAGGGGCGGTGGCCAGAGCACAGCACGCTGGCGTCGTGCCGACGCCGCGGCGACTGTGGCGCGTGCGCTCCGAGTGGAACGCCGCTGGTGGCCCAGAATCGGCCAACAGGGAATGCTCTGTCGATCGAGGAACCGCCGATCGGACGAGGTTGAACGACCCGTGCGCTGTCAGAACCCCGCGCCAGGGTCGTCACGGCACGCACCTGCCGTGCCCGTTGGCGAAGCCCCCGTCAGGACTGCGCTGAGGAGGACGTGGCCCTCCTGAGCCTGCGCCCCTCGTCGTCGGCGCCGGCGCTGCTGCCCACGCTGGCGGGCCCTGAGGCGCCAAGCGGCGAGCCACCCTGGGAGGAGGGCCAGTCGAGACACTGGCGTGAAGTCGGGCATGTCCCTCTACAGGAGGACGATTCAGAAATAGTCGCAGAGCAGCCTGACGAGTCTTTCTACTGCTTTGACTAGTTGTGGGTACGGTTTGACTATTTAAAAAATTTGTCCTCCAAAATCCGCCTGTAGGAGGACGCGCCCGACCTTACGCTGGCGGCACTCCCTGGCGTTCTGGGGTCCTCTCTTGCGGGAGCCCTCCCAGAGGGTCCTCGTCGCCACGGCCGGCTGCGCCTCGGAAAACCGAGCTGGGCTGTGCCCGGCATCCCCCCTCGAAGTCAAACGCAGCTCCTCCTCCTCCTCCTCCTCCTCTCCTCCTCCTCCTCCTCCTCCTCCTCCTCCTCCTCCTCCTCCTCCCTCCTCCTCCTCTCCTCCTCCTCCTCCTCCTCCTCCCTCCTCCTCCTCCTCCTCCTCCTCCTCCTCCTCCTCCTCCTCTCCCTCCTCCTCCTCCTCCTCCTCCTCCTCCTCCCCCTCCTCCTCCTCCTCCTCGTCCCGCGACGTGGCGGCGCCCCCAGGCCCCAAAAGGTCTCGACGCTCGCGCCGAAACGTGTGGGCGACTGCAGGGACAGAAAGCTGACCCCGTGGGGGCCGCGCTTCGCGCGTCGGCCAGCATCCGAAGCTTGCGCTTGATTTCGAGGAGAGCTGTAAGCAGGAGTGCACTGACCCGACCTCCTCCTCCTCCTCCTCCTCCTCCTCCTCCTCCTCCTCCTCCTCCTCCTCCTCCTCCTCCTCCTCCTCCCCCCCAGAGAACCACACCAAGCAAAATTAAAAGACACCGAAAGCTCCCAGTCGGCCGTGGGCCGCGCTTCGCGCGTCGGCCATCATCTGAAGCTTGCGCTTGATTTCGAGGAGGGCGATGGAAGGGTCCGGGGACCGTTCCTCGGCGGCGAGCGAGGGGGGGGGGAAGCGAGAAGGGGCGGGCCTCCTCGGGAGCCGGAGCTCCCTGGCCTTCCGGGAAGCTTTCGGAGCCTCCCCCGAAGGCAGAAAAAGCCTTTCAGAAGGCGCGAGGGCGTCTGAGAAGTCCCGCCGCCTTCTGAGGAGGCCGTCTCTTTCTCACCTCCCCCCCCCCCTCGCTCGCCGCCAAGATTCGGGCGGATGGCCCTGGAGTCTCCTCGTCGCCGCGGCTGGGTGTGCCTCGGACAGCGGGCCAGGCCGGATCTCCGGAGGGGTCCGGCGCGGTCGATGTTGAGCGGCTTTGGGCCAGGCGGGAGAGCTCAGCATCGCCTTACCGATCCTCGTCCCCGCTGGGCCATGGCATCTCATTCGGTAGCAAATCATGGGGGCCTGGTAGAGGTACCCTCTGCATACCGCTTTCGGCGCGTCGAGTAGCGTCTGGGAGTCGATGAGGCAGCGCCGATTTAGCGTCGGCGAGCGTCGATTAGCGTCGATTTTGCGTCCGTTCGCGAGAGCCGGCAGGATGGTATGGAAGGCTCCCACGAATTGCCACCGAAGTATCTCAGCCCCACCATCCCCCCCCCCAGTCAGGGATGGGCCCAGCGAAAGCCGAGGGAACAGCATACACATCTATATATAGATAGATGTGTATATATATATATACATATGTACAAACCAATACCACATATACATATATGTATATATAAAAACATATATATGTATACATCTGGGAGGGACAGATCGGCCAGTGGGGCCAAGACCGTGCTAGTGGGGATGGGGATCGGTCAACAGATGCTCAAGAGCCGCCGTGGTCTCCACTGGCCCCCCGAGAGGTGCCGATCGTCGAGCCGCCGTCGTCGATCGGCGCCGAGCGGCGCACCACCGTGGTGTTTCGCAACGTGCCCTACCTGCTGACGCGGGACATGCTCGTGAAGTTGCTGAACTCGCAGGGCTTCCGAGGTCCAGGCCTCCCAAATTGGGGCCAGAGCAGGCGGTCGAAGAAGAAGAAGCGCGAAGAACAACAGCAGGGGTTAGCCAGAGCGCCAGATCTTCCAGGATCCTGCAAAGCCAGGGTTGCATTGACCCGGGCTAGCGCGCAGGATGACGCAGGATGTTGCAGGATTTTGCAAAGTTCAACGGGCCCAGGTTTGCATTGATTTGGGCAAGTAGATGTAAGACGAAGAAGAAGAAGAAGAAGCCGAAGAAGAATAACAACAAACATGCATCAGCCTTCAAAGATCCACGCAGATTTCTTGGGCTGACGTTGGGACCCTCTCCTTGCCGCGCGGAGCGCACCAGGGGCGGCGCCGAAGGCGCCGCCAAGGGGGTCCAGTGCCGATCCAAGAAGTTAGAGCGGACCTACGGAAGCGCATGATTATGATGTTGTTTGGTTCATGGAGTCGGAGGATTGCGTTGCTTGGCCGATACATCGGCGATACGACTCGATCTTGATCCCGTTCTTCTCTATCGCGCCGTCGCCGATGCATCCGCGACGCGGCGCGGTCTTCCGACCCCGTCTGCTCCAGTCCCGCTCGGCTCGGGAGGCCCCCGCCAGGGCAGTTCGACTTGGTGTACCTCCCCATGGACTTCAGGACGAACCAGGCGCTCGGCTACGCGTTTGTCAACGCGGTTATCAAGGGCAACGTCAGGGGGGACAGACCCATGGGGGGAAACATCGACCTGGAATCGGCAATACGTCGCCGATAGATCGGCGATCGGCCCCCGATGGCGAATCCAAACGTTCCACAGCGGGGTGGGCTTTCGGGCCCCTATCGGCGATCAATGAGCGATTGGGGATCGGTGCATCCACCCTGAGCCCATCCCCCGCTAATGAACGTTTCCCATCAGGTGAGCGCTGAGGTCGCCATCCGCCTCTTCGGCGTGTTCGAGGGCTTTCAGGCGTGGCCCAAGAGGAGCTCGAAGGTGTGCAGCGTGTGCTGGAGCAACCGGCAAGGCTTCGAGAGAAACCTCCATGCTTACCTCAAACTCTCGGTCATGCAGACGAAGTTCCCCGATGCTTGGAAGCCAGCCTTCTTCTCGCAGGTCGAAGAACAAACAACGGCATAAACATAGTGTGTTGGAGCTCGGCGCTGCTTTCTTGGATCGCCGCTGGCCCCCCGTGGCGGCGCCTTTGAGGCCGCCCTTGGCTCGCTCCACGCGTCAGGAAGGGGGCTCCAGCGCAGATCCGAGAAATCTGCGCGGACCTCCAAAAGTTTATAGTTATGCAGTTTGCTCGTTCTCTCGCAGGGCAGCCAAGTGCCCTTCCCCAAGCCCGCTGGTAAGATCGCGCGCGACTCGAAGAATCCCCGCGGCGCTGGCGACGCGCCGCGGATCTGAGAAGTGCGCAGCAAGGGCAGGCTTCCAGCAGCACGACATGGATCTGCCCCGATGGCGGAAGGTGAGGATCAGGAGGAGAAAAAACACACAGCCACAATTAATTGTCGATTCCCAAGAAAAGTATGGGAAAATATGGGAAGTGGGGGGAAGACAAAAATTTAGAAAATATAGGAAAATATGGGGGATCTTTTTATTTGCGTGTATTCATTTGTGTGTCCTGGGGCCCCTTCAAGTTACGAGGATTGGGGGGCGGAGGGGGAAGAGCAGGTCACTCCGCCCGAGAGTGGCACCAGCACGCCTGCACTGAGTGAGGAGGGCCACGGCCCGCTGTCATCCCCAATCGCAGGGTTAAGTTTTTTGACTGACAGCGTCTGTGTCCTCTCTCGAGTCTCGGTTTCTGCCCTCCTCCTAAACTCCTAAACCTCTCCCTCTGTTTGGGCCGCCGCGCGAATTTGCCACGCGCGAACCTGCTGACAATCTAAGGAAAAGAAGAAGAAGACGAAGAAGCAGAAGAAGAAGAAGACGAAGAAGCAGAAGAAGAAGAAGAGCAACAAGTGCATAACAGAGCCTTTCGCACGATCGGCGCTGATCGGATCGGCGCTGAACCCCCTCCATTCCGCGCGGAGAGCGTCAGGGGCGTCGCCGGAGGCGCTGCCAGGGGGGTCCCCAACGCCGATCCGAGAAGTCTGCGCGGACCTGTGAAAGTTTGTGCTGATGTCGTTTGTTGTTCTTCCTCGCGCCGCTATGCTTTTTGGAGCAGGATGTGCCCACCGTTATGCATGTTGTGAGTCTGGCCTCGGCTTCCGCCTGGTCATAGCGGGCGCCGCTGGGCGCGCAGGCGCAGAGCCGCTGCGGCAGACGCACGATGCGCACCGTAAAAGGCTGGGGCGCGAAGCTTCGGCTCTGCCAGCGGGTGTGCGCCCCGAAGTTTCACACCTGCTAGGCTCCGATCGCCCCCTCCTCTTGAAGAAGAGAACAGCAAAGGCACACATTTTCGGAGGTCCGCCCGGATTCCCGCGCGCGAGCCTGCCGATTTACCGACGAAGAACAGTTCACATTCAGAAGAAGAACAACAGTAAGAACAGCAACACTTGTTTTAAGACGCTCGTTTCCAGATGCTAGCGTGTCATTCAACGTGTATCTCTCACTCTCAAACCATCGGTACCCGCCCTCTTCGTCTTTGATGTTGCCCCCGTATGGGGGCATCTATACCTTCCCTGCCACGTGTAGTTGGCGCAGCCCTTAGAACATGAAGAACAGCAATAATGGAAAAGGGAGAGAGCGAGGAGAAAGGGAGTGGAGGAAGGGAGTGGAAGAAGAGAGGGTGCAAGAGGGAGGGAGGCAAGGATAAGTGAAGGACGAGAGGAATGAGCAAGAGCGGCTAACAAGAGGGGATGGCAAGAAAGTCTGAGGCGAGAGCGCGGCTCTTGAGTAAATTATGAGGAAGACCCGAGCGAGGGCGCGATTCCAGAGCGCCGAGAGAGCGATAATTCAATACACTGTGATGGAGTCTCAGGCGAGAGCGTCATCCCCGGTAGATTGCAAGACAGTCCCGAGCGAAATCCAGATTGTCCATAACTGGTGAGGAAGTATCCGGCGGGAGCCACTGCTGTGGTAAACCGCGGGCCAGGGGTACGGTCGAAAAAACATGTCCCCAGTAAACTGGTCCATTCCCTGGTGAATTGGTCCACTCCCTGGTAGTAGATTCTGAAGATCGTGGGGCTTTCGAAGCTATATCATTTGTTTGTCCCAGGGCTGCTTAGCAGGTTCTACGGGGCGCCGTAGCAGCTTTCAAGGCGTTCCTGAAGGCACTCCCTGGCAGCTTGTAAGGCGCTCCTTAGCAGCTTTTAAGTACCCGCTGCTTGGCCGCCCTTCGACGCTCCTCGGAGTGATGTCTCCAGCAGTCCAGCCCGGGGTCTGCGCTCGCACCCTGACGTCCACCGTGCAGCAAGAGTATATCGAGGAAGCTCTGCGCGGCTTCCGGGAAAGCGCGGAGGCATTGGACAACAAGGGCTCTCTTAGGGCCCTCCGGGGCCGTCTTGGGGTTTCCTTGGCCGTCTTGGGGCCCTCTTGGCCGTCTGGCCCGTCCTGGGCCGTCTAGGGGCCCTCGTGGGCTGTGCTGGGCCGCTTTGGAGGCCTCTGAGTTATTTCCAGGACCAGTCTTCACTCGTCGTCGTCATTCGCTGCGGACGTTAAAGCACGGATGAGGTGGATGAGGAGGAGCGTGAGATGAGGAGGAGGATCGATGAGGAGTGAGGGGTGGACGATGGAGGAGGCGATGACGATAATGTTGATCATGTTGCTGCTGCTGGTGTTGCTGTTGCTGTTGCTGCTGCTGTTGCTGATCATGATGATGCTGATGCTGCTGCTGCTGGTGATGGTGATGGTGATGGTGATGGTGATGGTGATGGTGATGGTGTTGATGATGATGACGACGATGATGACAACGATGGTGGTGGTGATGATGATCATGATCATGATGATGACGATGATCATGATCATGGCCATGATGATGATGATCACGATCATGAGCGTGATCATGATCATGATGATGGAGATGATGGTTTTGATCGTGACCATGATGACGATGGTAATAATGAGCATGATGATGAATTTCATGACCATGGATCATGATCATGATCATGAGCATGATGATGATGAGGATGATGGTGTTGGTGATGGTGATGATGATTACTATGACGATGACGATGATGATGATGATGATGATGCTGATGATGATGATGATGATGATGATGATGATGATGATGCAGGCGATTACCACAGGATGATGACGAGCGTGATGATGCGTATAGTGATGCGGGGGAGGAGGAGGACGAGGAGGAGGAAGAAGGCGAGGACGGCTGTCAGAGGTGACGCCTTCTTGCCCCCAGTTTTGAGGAGCTCTCGTGGCCGTGGCCGACGGCGGTCTCGGGAGCATGGGTGGAGGAGGTGGAGGGAGGGAAAGGAGGAGGATGAGGAGGAGGAGGAGGAAGAGCAGCTTCTTAGGATGGGTCACACGCATGTAATGGCCTTCGGCCCACTCCGTCACCGTACACGAGCTGTGCGTGTTGAGGCGTCCTGGGTGGATACCAGGATCTGTTGGGGTGCCCCTCGGGAGCCTCTTGCAGGACTCTTGGGTGCCCCTGCGGCCCTCCTGGGCGCCTCTTCGGGGCCTCTTGGGAGGCTGTTCTATACATGCTTCGTACACGTGCCGTATACGTAGTGCTTACGTGTCGCCCATGGCTCGCACACGTTGCGCACGCGTTTCGCAGACATGCCATATACGCTCGTACGGTTCCATGAATTTCGTGTGCACGTTTCGCATGCGTGCTGTGAACGTTTCGTATGCGTTCCGTATATGTTTCGCACCCACTTGCGTATGCGTTTCAATTACGTGTCGGGTGGGTGCCATGCAATTGTCATGTATTTTTTCTTTCACGTGTCCTATACGCTTCATAGGCGTACCCTATGAGTTTCGTAAGCGCTTCGTTGACGTTTACGTGTCATGTGTTTTCCGTTTGCGTTTCACACACGTTTCATACATGATCAGGTTCGTTTCGTATACGGTTCATCGAAGTTCGATGCTAAATGTTTGCACACTTCGTGTTTTCATACAGTTGTAGTAATGGTGAAGCGACAATTGCTCATAGTATTACTACGACTATGACTACTATAACCATTACGACTACTACTATCACGGCTACTAGTACTACTACTACTACTACTACTACTACGACTACTACTACTACTACGACTACTACTACTACTACTACTACTACTACTACTACTACTACTACTACTACTACTACTACTACTACTACTACTACTACTACTACTACTACTACTACGACTACTACTACTACTACTACTACTACTACTACTACTACTACTACTACTACTATACGACTACTACTACTATTACTACTACTACTACTACTACTACTACTACTACTACTACTACTACTACTACTACTACGACTACTACTACCACTACTACTACGACTCCGTAGCCATTTTGGCTCAAGGCCATGCATTCCCAGCGGGTGCAAGTCACGTCGTGGCGCTGCGAGCACTCTGGGGGAGTGCTGGCGGAGCCAAAATCCTCTTTCACGATTCAGTGCGATCAAGTCTGCCGCCCCAGTCCTCGCGCGCTATGGGCAGCCATGGGCGTGGAGGCGCCGAGGGAGCAGCGGTTGTGCTCCGCGGGCCCAAGTCACCGCTGTGGCTGTGCTCCTGCGGCTGCGCATCCAACTGGGCCAGCAGGCTCAGGTGCCGTGAGTGCGACCGGCGTTGCTCCACCAAGGTCGAGGACGCCGCCAGGAAGGCTCACAAGGAGGCGCTCAAGGGTGGGCCCAAGCCAGGCAGCCACCCGCAGCCCCGCGGTGCATGGGCGCGGCAGAAGCTGGCCCCCTGGGAGCACGACAAGCTCCAGAGGCAGGACAGCGAGCTGGCGGCCCTGCGGCAGCAAGTCGAGGCACTCAAGGCCGACAGCGCCAAGGCCAAGCTCACTGCACTCAGCGACCTCAAGGAGGAGCTGCAGAAGCTTGGAGGAGGAGAGCAGGCCACGAGCTGCGTCAAGGCCGTCGAGGCCAAGTACTCAGAGCCGCCCAAGCCCAAGAGCCTCCCAGCCTTGGAGGGGCAGCGCAGGAAGCTCGAGGGCCAGCTCCAGAAGGCCCTCGCCAAGGTGGCGGAGCTCGAGGACCAGCGCGGCAAGCTCGACCAGAGGATCTGCGAGGCCAAGGACTCGGCCGCCGAGCTCAAGTGCAAGCTGCAGGCGGCGGACGCCGAGATCGAGTCCCGCCATGCCGCTGGCGTCCTCGGCGACGGGCTCAGGGGCCTGGCCAAGGTGCTGGAGCAGTTCAAGGCTACGGCTGTGGAGAACCAGGCAGTGTTGCAGGGCCTCATCCAGCTGCAGGACGTCGTCAAGAAGGAGCAGGAGACCCTGGAGGCAGCGGACGACGCTGCACCTGGTGATGGCGATGGTGATGACGCTGCTGTCCCAGGCAGCGGGGATCCACACGAGGGTGTCCCTGGCAGCGCTGGGTCAGGGGGGGTGTCTGTCCCCGTCCCTGACGAGCTTGTCGACAGTCTCATGGAGGACGCCCCAGAAGGCGAGAGCGTCGAGCAGCGACGCAAGCGCTTCAGCGACATCATCGAGGCCCAGCTCAGCGGCCTCGGGTTTGATAGCATGTGGCTATACACTGTCAACGCGAACACCGAGAAGGGCTATCGCGACTTCCTCGACTGGCTTGACAGCCAGCACAGCCTCGTGGAGGCTGGGCCGAAGAGGCTGCCAGTCGCAGACATCACCTTCGTGCAGGAGACGCGTGTGCGTGCTTGTGGCAGGGAGGCAGTCCAGCGTTGGCATCGGAAGCGCGGGCTTCGACTTCGACCTTGCCGCAGGACTCAGCACGGGGGACGGGCCTCAGGCAGTCTCAGGCGGGGTAGGCATCGGAGTGCGGCAGCGGTTCGCGGCAGCCACGCTCGACACCGCTTTCAAGCAGCCCCACCGCGTGCTGCGGCGGGTTGTCAACATTGGCGACGGGCTCGCCATCGATCTCCTGTCCATCTACCTCCGCGACGGGGAGGGCATGAGCGAGGCCAACGCAGACATTCTCTGGGAGGTCGCGTCGCAGCTCAGGGTGGCGGTGCGGCCGTGGATCCTGGCGGGCGACTTCAACATGGACCCCCTCAAGGTCGCGGCGTGGGCGGCGACGGCTGGAGGTCTCGCGCTACATACAGGTACGGCGACCTGCAGGGCGGGGGCGCTTCACGAGCTCGACTACGCAGTCATCTCCGACGAGCTTCAGCAGTTCGTGTTCAGCCACGGGCCCGTGGTCGAGGCCCCCTTCGGGCCACACAGCCCCGTCCTGTTGGAGGCACGAGGGCTGCGTGCAGACGCCACGGTGCAGCAACTTCATCGGGCAGCGCGGCTGCCGTTCGATCGGGCCATCGGCTGTCTGCCCCGCGCCCCGCTGCCTGCCTGGACTTGGGAGGAGG